TTGCATAATTCATACGGTTTGAAAATGAGCTTTAATAAAGCAGCAAACAACCATTTGCTATTTAAAGATGTAGTGAAGTAATGTTGAGTGCCAACTCAGCTGTTGCCATGTTGAGAGTCGTGTGAACGCATGATTGCATAATCTGCAAGACCACAATATTATATTTCACTTTATACACAGTATTTGATCAGTTGGCATAGTTTGGTAAATATTCCAAGACCCATTTCATCTGTTTATTAGGTAACATTTTGTAAGAAAATATTATGAACACATGACCTTCATGACCTTTCATTTTTGGCAAATGTTAGAGATAATTTAGTTTCTTTATGAAAGCAAAAGTTTTTCTTGAACTTTACTTACATGTTGAGAACAATAACATATTGTACAACTGTTGTAATATATAAAGAAATGCCATGAGAAGGTCTGGTTTCTAGTGGTTAATTAGTGTAACATTGTTTCAATATATATGAATCGACTAACAACTTAATCCCAGGCGTCCTTATAGATTTAAATCTGACATTTCAGCAATGAATAAAAACAAGCGCTTTCAATTTGGTTTCAATGTCAGGCATCGATCCTATTGTGCTGTCATGGTAGGCTTCATCCTCTTGGGGCCATAAATGTGCCAAAGTTAATGACAATCAAACCGACAGTTGTTGAGCTATTTCATTCTGGACCAAAGTGGTAGAAAAGCTACGAGATGGAACGTGTAGTAAAACTGTGTTTCCAAGCAAAGCTATTAACTAGTATTCTTTAGATTCCAGGTAAGTTCCTACAGGTAATTACTAAGAGATACCTGTGAGAAAGAGCTCATTACACTCCATTATTGGGCTACACACTGTAAAGCTTTCTGCATGACAACATTATTCCATGAGGTAAAGTGGTGTTCTTTGCTGCCGTGCAGTATTGGAGGAGTCCTTTTGTGATGAGATATGGCAATTTATTTTTTGTTGTATCAACTGTTTCTGAACTTGCCTCCCCTTTTTTTGACTACTTTTTCCTACATTTCCAGAATGAGTTTCAATACCCCCGCTCCCCCATGGAGAAACTCAGCTGGCCTTGCAGCAATGCATTTTTCTGTCAAGAAAATGGGGGCATCACACGCCTCACCCCACTGTGCCCCTTGTGGCTGCGCTGCATTCGGGTTTATTGGGTCTGCTGTCAGTGCAGAAATTGCTGTCTCTTACTCTATCGTTCCTCCCTGTGAGTTTGTTGAGCCTTAATGAAAAAAGTGGTGAGTCTAGAAGAAGTTCTTCCTTCTGAGGACCTCAAATCAAAAGCATTTACTGCTAATGTTTCAGAAAAAAAAAAAATGTGTGGTGACATTTGGCACAATAGTCCCAGGGATGCACGGCGCATTGCTGATACCTCTCTATGAGTGTTAATATGTCTGTGTGATGAGAATATTGTGTTTTTGTGAATATTATCAAAGTTATGTATAAAACACATCCCCATGCACAGCCTTGGGCTGGCAGGTGGCCTGCAACATTACTTGGGAAGGTGTTGAAGAGAAGAGTTGGCACACAGCTGGTCTAACCATCAGCTCTAGCACAAGCAACATTAATCAAAAGGAACATTAAAGCTTCAGCAGCGATGCATTAAAGTCTCTCCGTTTGTTGAATTGCAAGTTAGCGTGCACTCAAACTATTTGGTGGCTAATCTTGCCAGCCTGCTGTGTTATGAAGTTCAAATGTCTTTTTTTTTTTCTGTGTTTTATGAATGTAACAAGTAATTCTCATAACAAGTATCCTTAAAGGGACATTGGTATTTTAATTAAACAAAACCACAGAGAATAATAATTTAAAAGTTAAATGTTCCGCGATGTCCACTAGCCACTAACTGTCTGAATAACTGTGCTGGGGCCGGTAGAGTAAAGTGGTGTTTCTCAGGACTTTTTGGGGGTGTAACGGTACACAGAGGTGGAGCGGTGTCTTCCAACCCCAAGAGTTTCATTTGCGCTCGCCATGGTGTGACTGACTCACACGCCAATCAGCTCGCCGTGCTGGCTTCAGCGAATGTTGCCAACGTCGTATGGCTCAAAGGTTTGCGGGTGGAACTTGCGCTTGTTAATTTTGGTTCGGCGTTACGTGCATCAATCTACAGTACATACAATGTGTCCTGCACGAAGCTGATGAGAGCGATGGGAGTGAACCGAAACCGTTTGATTTGCGGGCCGTAAAATTAACACGATGAGCTGAAAGAGGCTAAAACGCCCCGTAGAGCTCAGAGGAGCTGCAGAATTTGGTGAGAATTCTCAGTGAGAAAGCTTTTGTACAGTCTTTTGCATCATCGTTAGTAGCTTTAAATTAGTCCGACAAATTCCTAGCCTTTCATGGGGAAAATTCTCAAATAAAAACATTATAACCCTTGCTCAAAGCGAGAGTCAACAGCTGAAGAAATAAATCAGAAACATCCAGCTCATCTTTTCGACGATACAGAATGTGCAGACGTTGTGCAGTACGTCTGAGGTCTTTACCATTGCTCAGGCTTAATGACCCTTTCCATTACTGACTATTTCATAGGATGCAGAATTCGTAATGGTATGCAATGTCTTTCTTTTTTTTCTTCTTTTGGTGGAAAAAATAAATAAGAAGTTATGAGTTGCCCTACTTTCCTGCAAATCTGGAGGCTTCCTATCATTATAGTCTGAACATTAAAGTGGATTCAGGGCTCATACTGCACTGGGGAGGGAAGGAAAAAATCGGCACAACAAGCAATTACTCTAAGAACAAAAACAACCACTGACATAATAGTCCTTATTTGTGAGGCAAGAAGAAAAACACTTGACTTTAACTGGAGGCCTGCTCTTATATTTTGTGTTTTTTCGCTGCTTAAATCTTATTTCTGTGGGGAGGAAACCGCCGGGCTAATTGTATTCGTCAGCCACAGAGTCTTCAACTTCAACCAGAGAATTAATTGTAAAGATCCCTGCTGCCCCGATATGTTGCACTGAGTCGAGCCTCGTTTGGTTTTTGCATAGGTAGGCATGTGTCACGGACTTTTTCTTTTTTTTAATACCTCAGATAAACCAAGGGCACATAGTGGAAATGGAAAGAAATGCAGACGATGCAAAGGCCTGTGGTGCACAGGGATGTTTGGCCTCCAGCTCCTGCAAAGGACTTTAAATGGAAACACTTGAAATCTAGATTATCTATGAAAGGTTAAAGTGGCCACCTGCTGTCCTCCATGCTTTCTCTGAATTATTCATGTAAAATGATGGCCGAGAGATGCTGTCTTCGTGGCTACTCTTTTCATTATAGATAACCATACTAATGTGCAGTCTTCTCAAGACTTACTATTAAAACTGTGAAAGATGGGCTTTAGAGAAACAAAGCAAACATTTACCTTTTTTATTCTCCACTACTCCGCCGTTATAGTGCACTTCTGGCTAAATGTTACATATAGACGTCAAGAGCAATTACCTTGATATTTCTGCAGGGAGCGCGACACAGCTGTACCTACGTACTTATAGATTTCATTCGGTCATTATGAGTGTTACCTGAACACTTTTCTCTAGGATGGGGACAGCAATATAGGGAATTTACCAAATGTTTTTTGGAAGCCAGTACTGATTTTGTCCTGTTGATGCGGGGGTTATGAGCCGACACGAGCTTTGTTACGATTGAAATATCCCTCTGTGGAATCAGCTGCCACTACATCATCCCAGGAGCATACACTGTAATCACAGCCTTCTCCACTCTTATATCAAGCAAGGTCAGGGAGCTAATAACATGTTTGCAGGAGAACATGGAACAAAATGAACGATTTAGACTTCTTCCTTTTAATCCCGAGAGAGCCCAGTGGCTGATTGGGCTGTTGTGGCTTTACACAGGAGGCATTTCTGAGGCTGTATTGCTACTGTGTCACACATCGATCGTGTGGCTGTAGACATGACATGAAAAATCTATAATTTCCCATATTCAACTTTCTTCCAGCTGTGCGGCTATGAAAACAGGGACAGTTTGTAGATACAGCCAGCACATAATCAATGCTTGAAAAATCAACAACCCTGGTTTACTCATATTACCCTCTGACCTACGAACAGGGAGAGTTTGGCTGAGATAAGTTTAATTTTCCTCCCTCTGCCAAGAGATCAGCTCCACAGCAGTCAGCTATCAGGGCTGGCCCCCACATTGCTGGAGAGCCAAACACCGTCCTGCGCAGAGGACGTTATGGATTAATTCACATTTAATAACATGTCAAAGTCAAAGCAGATTTGTACGAGCCACAGTCCACAAAGGCTCAGGCTACAGCAGATAGCGCTGCTGTTGCTGCTGCTGCTTCCCCACTAGCGGTTAGCCCTGCCAAGCTAGCTAGAAGGATAACAACTGAGTCTCTATAGCCAATGAATAGAGTCGATTAGTAGTATCTTTATTCCCCCCGGCTGCCCTCCGGTGTTAAGTGAGATCTAGTCAATAATGCAGTGGGGCTCATTGTAAGATTTTTGATGAATAATCGTCAGTAATGTGGACATAAAATCAAACAGGTAAATGCAAACAATAGAATATCCAAAATCGAACAAGATATCTTGTCTCAAATCACAATATCGGTGTTACATCGACACATCGCCCAGCCCTGGACTTTTGTGACCCTCACATGAATCCCAGTGTTACTCAGCTATACATTACCCCAACAAGCTGTGTGTGTGTGGACACACACTAGTGGAAGCCTCACACACACACACACACACACACACACACACACACACACACACACAC